TCCTTCCTTCCTTCCTTCCTTCCTTCCTTCCTTCCTTCCTTCCCTCCCTTCCTTTCTTTCCACTGTATGTTGTAAAATGTTAAAAAAGATTTTAAGAAGTAGACACTCTGTTTTCTCCTATATGTTCGCCTACTTTCTGCATTCCATGTCTCTTGGGACATAAATTGCAAATGATGAAGAATGTTTGTTGGGGAAAAAAACGAGCAGAATTCCTTTGAAAAGTTGTAACTAGGGATGGAAACATTTCTCTTCTTTTCTGATTCCTGCAAATTCTACTTACAGAGACTAAATAGGAGTACAGATAATTTGACCCCTTTTCCTTTTAACTGTTTGTTCTACGGCAAGAGACTGCTTTTGGGTAGAGTTATTCCAATAGCTTTTACAGAGTTTCCTGATGCCTCACTGTAGATGTGCTATAGAAAAATCCCAACTGGCAGTTCATCCTGGAGAGCGAGCATGGGGCAAGTGTCTGTGTTTGTGATGGAGAGGCACAAATGATCAGGGAGCCTGAGTTCACCAAGATGCCATTTTTCTCCTCTGGGCATTCCTCCCTGCAGAGCTTGCTGCATTTGTGGCCTAGTTTTAATGAGAGATTTTTGACAGCAGTGGTGAATGTTGACATTTTCCTCTATTTTAATTTTTTTTTTGAGCTGAGCACCCAGTGTAGTGAGGAAGCTTGAGACTGCCTGATTCAGCCCCTCTGACTGCAGGTACCATGTCCTAGAGTCTGCTTTATAAACTCCTGAAGATAGTTAATGGTTTCTTTCCCCCATTCTTTCTATTGAAAAGTAGGTTCTGCCTCATCCTTCTGGTAATGGAAACATAATTTCCAGTCTAAATTTACTTATGGCCTTTTTATTCTTCTTTGTTTATTTCTAATCACTGATCTTGACTAGCTATTTTTCCTCCTTGGTGTTCGCCTTCAAGTTATTTCTGGATTGCGGTGTTGACCCCTCTTAGTCTCTGGTTAAGCTAAAAAAAGACAGCTACTCTGGTCTCCCATGAGGAATCTCCCTTATTCTGATTATCCTACCAGTCTTCGTCAGTCTCTGGCTTTTTTGGAGTTCAGTATGTGTGTGTTGAAGAGGGGCCCACACAACACCCTCTGTGTTCTGGGTGGTTCCTCCATGTTCTGGACTGTTTAAAATGGCTTTGCTCATCACAAGTCACGTGTGATTTTCAGTAAATACATGTTTTTGTTTTTAAACCAAACACCCAGCCACCATTCACTGAATGCAAAAGCAAATTCCTGTCTGTGCAGAGTAAGGAATGATATGTAATTCTTTGGAGAGCTAAAGGATGGAATATTTGTTGGGACAGCCCAGGTGCTGAGGGCATTTAAAAAGTCTGCTTCCCTTGCTCTGTGAGAGTGGGACAGTTATTGCCACCAGGCCTTTATATTTGTCTTCTCTACTTTAAGTTGAGCGCTCTACTTCTTTAGGCAGGATCCCGTTTTGTAGTAAGGAGTGGAACATTTAAATACGGTATTTATGGGTTGTGTCTGAACTATAATTATTTGCAAATCACAAGAAAGGCTTCCAAACCTAGTGCAGCCTAGTCCATATTGGAGCAGGATTTGCCAGGCAGCCCGGGTGCTGCACAGGGTGGCCACCGTGGGCCTAATGCACACATGTGAGCGGGGGATTTGCTCTGTGCTGTTGTGGCACTTTGGAAAACATCTGACTTTTTACTTAAAACTGTTCAGCCTAGCCTGGGGGCATAAGACAGAACAGGGTGGGGAGGTAGAAGGGCAAGCCTGGCAGGGGTATCCAGCTAGCAGGGAAACCAGAACCAATTTGCAAGGTTTAAAAAGAAAGCGAGATCTAAGAAAATCTCTCCCTGGTCTGCAAAAAATAGTGCAGCTATTGTGCCATTTGAAGGTACAGGAGTTGCAGGTAGCTAGTAAGAGCTTTGCTGCAGCTGGAAGCCATAGGTCAAAATTTCAGTCAGGGTTACGAGAAATTGATGGCACTATGTGGCGTTTTGCTAGCTTCAATCAGGCCTGATATTTGTTTTCCCAAGTGAAAGGGTTCAGTCAATCTTGCAGCCTGCCTGGAGAACAAAGGAGTGAGACAGATTTAATGCTCGTTCTGTTAATTGCCCAGTGGCCATTCTTTCAGCATGGATCTGTGTTTATGTGCCAGAATAATTTGGGTTTATGTCTGACACAGGAGATCTGACTTGTGGAGGGACTTCAGTCTGGGCTGTTATTCTTGGAGCACTGGGGAAATGAGGGCATATCCTCCCTGCCCTTATAGTCTGCAACTGAAGACATCTTTCAGGTAGGAGTTGTTTCCTATTGATGGCCAGAGAGGTGAGTGACATCTAAGCCCTCTTTTAAAGCAAAGTGGGAGGGGAAGAAAGAGAGAAAAGGAACCAAAAGGTTATGAAGGGTTTTCTTCAGCCTGGCTTAATTTGGAGGTGACACTTCATATGTCAATTTAAATTAAGCCATTTCACAGAGCACCCATCCCAGAGCCTCTGATGCATTTGTAAGACGACAACTGTGGGGCATGCTGGGTGACTGACACAGTTGAGGACAAAGAGGGAGGGAGCTGCAGGAGGAGCTGAGATGCGGTGCTTCATGGAAGGGCTGCTTTGTCCCCTGATGTGTATATAATTACCAGGATGTAGTTCAGCCCTGATTTCTTTATCCCATGTTTTGGGCCTTGGGTGTATTAAGTCCAGGTATCTTGTATGTATGTCATGGTTTTCTGCAACCCTCCTGATCCGAGTAAGGTTTAAATAGGAATCTTTTCTGGATTTTGAACAGTTAATGTAATAGAAAGCTAACACCTGCATCTGCAGCCTTGTCCCCTTCAGTGCAGCTGAATAGCATTTCATGATGGCAGGGAAATAACTCAGTAAAACCAGGCCCTACTCCGTAGGCGATGAATGAAGCTCAAGTGAAGTAGAGGTCACTCGTGCTAATCTGAAGCAAATAGGATTGTGGGACTGGGGGAAGAGGGTGAACCTCCTTTTATGTACAAATTCTATAGCTCAGAGGCTTAGGAAACACTTCATAGTAAACATTTGCAAAGTATCCATGCCATTAACCTTTTCCGAGACGAGAAACAAATGGTTTTCCTGCTTCATTTTGTGCAGGTCTCGCATTTTGGTACGTATGCAAATTATGCTGGGTGGCAGTGTCTCATACAAATAAGCTTGAAATGCAGAGGCAGCCATGCAGGCAAAATGGCTTGCCTTTCCCTGCAGCTGCAACGAGACTTTTATCACAGAAGGACCAGGCAGGGGGAGAGCCTGATTTGTAAGAAAGCATCAGGAAGAGAGAAGATAACCAAGAATCCACCTGAAATGCTGGCACAGTTGCAGAAAGCACTGTGTCCATGCCACAGTGCTACCCTATATTTTTTGATGATCTGAGGGCCACCCAGCACTGGTTTAGTTTTCTTTGGATTTGGGAGCATCGTTATTGTAACTCTCAAGGCAGTGAAATACACAAGCAGCTCATGGCTGTGAGGAACTGGGGAGGTGATGTTTGGGAAGAAGAGATGAACAGCACTTATTTGAGATCAGAACTAAAATGAGCATGGAAGATAATACAAATACAAAATGCAAGCAGGCAACTTTGCAAGGATGTTGACTGCCTGTTGTAAAGATAGTGTGCAAAGGCTCTGCATTATATTGTGCTGCTAATATTTTCTGTTCCAGATCCTTGTGGGGCTGTGAATCAGGTTTTCCCATGCTATTTAACAGCAGTTACTGATATGCTTATATAGGATCATCCCAATTATGAGTCTTCTGTGTCTCTAACTGCTTTGCAATGTTTCTTCTATGAGTTGGGTGGGCATCAGGCACAGTTCGAAGGGATGAGTCCCCTGTTCACTGCATCTTAGGCTGTGCTTTTCCCTCAAGTGTATCAGGAGTGAGTATGCAGCAGGTTAGACTGAGTTTGACTTTCTGAGTCTGCAGTGTCTCTTGATTAACTTAGTGACAAGACCAAATGTTACTTAATTTTAATGATAGATGACAGCAAAACAGAAGAGAAAAGGGAGTGGATAAAAAGTTGATAAAGACATGAGCTTCCCTGGCTTTTGTTTGCAACCAGACCTTTCTGGAGTTATGGTTCTTCTGACCCTCCTGTGCTGGAGTAAACCAGCAGTGCTACCTGCCCATGGAATGGGAGAGGGGCTCTAAGCAAGTGTGTGTAGTGCTCTCCATCAAGCAGAGGAAAGGGGCTACTTGGCATTATTGGTTTCTTCCCTGTGTAGGTGCAGACATCCACAGCTTGAACCGACTCCTTACTTTCATCTAGGTGAGTTGTGAGAAGGAAAGAACAGTGGAGCTGCAGATTCGCACCCTGCCTTGCAGGATCTATTCCCTCTCGCTTTGATCTTTTTTCTCACTGAGTAACAGGCAGCATGACCCCAATGTGATGCTCTGGCTGTAGACTGCATTGTCATGTTGAAAAATGAATTGCCTCAGAGCCTTCAGTCTATCTCCTGGGCTATTTCCTGTTAAAACCAGGAAAGCTGGGATTTCCACGTGACTTTGAAGCTCAGAGCTCTGATGTACAGAGAAATCCTGTCTCTCTGTGTTCATTCATTCCTGCTTCTGATCCCTCCTTTTCTCTTCCATTATCTCAAATGCTTTTGGAAACTTCATTTTCAAAGCACTATACCGTCTCATGGGCCACTGCTCACTTGAGTTTCCTTCTGTGGGCATCATGGTTTAGTAGGAAATGCAACAGTGGTTTGAAATGTTTGGCAGACAAGATAGGGAAAAATAGATCTGTGAGTTATTAAGGGCAAGAGTAATGACTTTTACCTTCAGAGTTTACAGATATTTTTTTCCATTTTCATCTGCCAAACACTTAGGCTTTTCTGCATTGTCTGCATCTGGAGGGTGTCTGTTTTGGCAGAGAATTATCTTGGATGTGCAGCCTGTGTGAAGCTGCCTTGGGCACCTCCTGAATGTTCTGGCTCTCTGGTTCAGGCCTTCTGCGTACACAAGCTTGTATTGGTTTTAGCATTTCACCTCCGGTCACTCATGAACTGATTCTTTAGTGGGAGACTGGTATTTCTTTTTGTAACTATTCATCCTCATGTCAACTGCAGGTTTCAGTAAGAACCTGGGCTGCGTTCTTCCCTTGGTAACTGAAAACCTCCTTTTCCCCAGAGGCGACAGCCTGCTGCTTGCGCTTGTAACACCTCTGCCTATGCAGAATGGGCACATGATAACAACATGGTGGGTTTTTTCCAGTGATCAGACTGATCAGACCCTTAAAACTCACTGAGAATTAAGCAAGTTAAACTCAGCTTTTTCCTTGACCAGACCACTGTCCTCTAAAAACAATCTTTAGACAAAAAAACTCTTTTTTTGTGGTAGAGTTTTCTCAGTTCTTAGATTTTGTGTGTGGAGGTCAAATCTTTGGTTAATGTTTCATTTTCATGGCCCTTTGTAAGTTGTTTCCTTTCCATTCCTTCTGTGTTCCTGGCCAAAAAGGGAGGAGAGATACCATAACACAAGTAATGCCTTTGTTTCCCCAGCTTCACTGTGGTGCAGAGATATGTGATCACCACTTGTTTTCGCAGTTTTTGGCAGAAGTAGTTTTTAACTCCAGCCATTAAAAGCATATTGGACTTGTGTGTCCTTTATAATTGCTAAGGTATGGGAACTGCTTTCTAGAGGTGCCAAACACCTGGAAACTTATTTTGAAATGACAAGTATTTGGTGCTTCTAAAACTAGATTTTCTGTGGAAGGGAGCCTTCTGTGTCTTCATTTCTTTCCCTCTGCTGTTGTAGGCATTCATATGCAGTGATGCTTTCCATGAGTGTACTGTATTGAAATCACTGGGTTTCTTGCCTCATTGTAGGGCTGTTCTGTGCTCTCCAAGGTTAGAAGCTGGCTCCTAGCTGACACCTATACCTGTTGCTCACATCATCAAGGAAGAAAGGCAAGATGCAAAGGCTGTATTTTAATTAGGCCACAATCTAATTAGCTTACCTGTGAACACAGCCAGACTGCACACTGTGATTTTCTTGCTTATTCCCAGTTCTTTGGGGATTTGTTACCAGCCTTTCTCTCTGTGGGAGGAACCTGGAAGCTATGAGTTTTGAGCTCTGTTTCAGTCAGTGCTATTGACTGACTTGTGACGTTGTGCAAGTCCCTTTGGGTCTTGCTTGTAGGGCTTTGCAAACATTGGAGAGAGTCAAACGCATTTCCTTCACTTCCCAGCATTCATTGTGAGCCCTAATTAACACTTAAAAAGTAAGGGACTTTAGGCTACAGGGTGCCACAGAACTATATTGCTATGGAAATACAATTAATAAATAATAAAACACAAGGTACAGGAGTTCCAAAACTGCATATTGCAATAATTTATTTTCATTATTTGTTTACGGCATTCAGTCTATATGAGTCATACTATACATCTTAATTTTCATTACTGCTGGAGAAATCCTGGGTAGGCAACATTAATATTCTACCTCCTAAAGTACTGATGTAAACGGTAGTGTGATCCCAGGTGATGGGAAACTATTACTGCTGTGTCCTACTGTTCTTCAGCTGCCAGCTCTCAGAATCCAGCTCTCCCATCACGGCCCTGTTTACAAGAGGATGAGTTCCAACCAGCTAGTCTGACCTCCCATGCAAAACAGATTGCAAACTTTTACCCAAAGATTTCTATTTCAAGCTCAATAACTTCCACTTAGATTAGAGCATGCCGTTTAGACAGACTCAGTGGAGATGCAGAAACTGTAAGTCAGAGAAAATCTACTACTTTGCTTAGTAAATTATTTCAGTGGTGCATTGCTTTGGTCTAAAAATGTTCCTCTTACTTATTTCCAGTTTTTGTTGTGCTTCTCATGATGCTTTTGTTTAAAATTGAAAAAGACTCAAACACCCACTAATCTCAAGATTTTTCATGGCACAGGTACATACAGACTGTGATTGAGATACAACTTAACCTTCTCATTACTAAATTACAGGCACTGAGCTCATTTCATCTCTCTCTGCAGGATGGATTATCTGGACTTTAAATTCTGGGGTTTTATCTTTTCTACTAAACTCTGTGCTGTCAGACATTGTCCCTTTTTAGAGTGAACACCAGAACTGACACTACAGCAATTTGGTAATGATGGTTAATCACTTTTATCATCAAGAGTGTGCATAACTCATTTCCCTTCCTGGAGGAATTTAGGATCTAAGCCTTTGAGATGGCTCTTGGCAGGATGAGTGTCTGTTTCTGGCTCCAATTATAAGATTGTTTCCTGTGTGAAGGTGAAAAAGCAAACAGGAGAGGGTGACGGAGCAGGAAGA